GAACAAACCAGCACGACTCTCCAGATATGCTGCACACAGTCTTTAATCAGAAGGAGCAAATGCAGGGGCACAGAACAGAGACCAAGAAAGACGTCTGCAGGGTTCGGGGAGGCACAGAGAATGGCCCGTTTCCAAAGGACAAGGTCCACAGAAAGGGCTTCACTTTTCCCATTCTGCTCCAGCTGGTGGTATTCCCAGGCCACCAAGAGCAGGCCCTGACTCCAGAACCCTCCCCACATCAGTAGGAGGTTCAGCAAAGCAGAAGAGAAGGAGCCCTTTCTCTCAGGGGCTCAGAGCAAAGCAAAGCCAGGGAAGGTAGAGCAAGGCCTTTCCTGCAGGGAGGAGCAGCGGGCACAGGACCCTCCTGCCAGGTGGGAAGAGGACACCCAGCCCAGCTGGAAGCCGTGGCCCTGCTCCTGCTCATACAGGGAGCATGTCTTACTTCTGGCTCCCAATGGGATGATCCGCCGGCTTCAGCAGTTCAAAGTGCAGCGGGGAGGAGGCAGACACAGGCCTGACCCCCCCAGACCAAGGGAGCCCCCAGAAGAGATGGGAACCCCGCCAGTGCTGAGAGAGCTCCCAACAGCAGCTGACAGAGAGGATCCCACGGCTGTGCTCTGCGGGAAAGAGGTGAGGATGGGGCCCGGCAGGGTCACCACCACCGGGGAGGCCTCAATGAACACCGTTGAGTCAGCACAGCGGGCGAAACAGGGCTCACTGCAGCTGCTTGCAAGTGGCGTTGGGCCAGAGGTGCCGCAGGGGCGTGGGGGACATGGTCTGAAGCAAGACATCTCTTGGTGAGCGAGGCAAAGCTGAAACACAGAGCAGGCAGGGAGCACAAACCTCAATATTAGCGTGTCCTCGTCTTCTTCAGCTCTCTCTGTGCGCAGATCTTGTTTTAAATACACGCAGTGACTCTGCAACATCCAGAGTCCTCCCTGGCCCAGCAGCTTGCCTGGAAATGGGAGGCTGGCCCCTTTTGTAATAGGTCCCATTTCACTGGGGTTAAAGCCCCTGTGGAGTGGCTGAGCACAGCCCATCTCCAGAGCAAACAGTGCTGCATTGAAGAGAGCACTGCATGCACTTGGCCATTTGGTTAGAGACAATCTGATGGACATGCAACTTCTGGTGGGCAGAGGAAGCTGCATTCTGAGCCCCCCTGATCCTTTCTGCTTGGAAAACCCTCCTCCTCCCAGCTCCCCCCAGCCACCTCCATGAGAAGGACAGGGGTCTCAAGGCTTGACTATTTCCCTTGCAGGGCCAAGCAGAGGCAGCCCCATATCAGCCTGAGCAGCCACCAGCACAGCACTTCAGCCCACAGAGAGAGACAGAGCAGACTCAGGCTTACCTTGTTCTTAGAGGAAAGGGAACCAAGAGAGGAAGATGCAGAGCCTGGAGTAGAGCAGGCTTTTATGCTGTGTTCCAGAGCCCTGGGGGGAACCAACATTCCTTGCTCATGAAGCATCTGAACACCTAGTAGTTGCTGCTTGCCAAGGCCCCGCTGGCGATGAAGCCCTTGCCTCTTTCAACTGATTTACCGTGCTCCCGCTTTCTGTCACTGAATATCAGAACTACTCATCTGTGCCCCACCTTCATAAGATCGATCAACTCAGATGTCTCAGGCATGTGCAGAGGGATATTTAGAGCGTGTTTCCATCCTTTGCCTTATTAGTGGTGAGCGCGGCTATCAGTCACGGTCAAACTCAGTTATGAGGTCACCTCAAGTGCTTTCCTATCAGGCAGTACGGATAACATTGGAGAAACATGCTCCTCACGGGTCATTGTAGGGACACAGAGAGGAGGCTCTGAGTAAGCTCAATCAGGTCAAGACTGCACAAACCCATCCGTGAGGTGAAACTCAGCTCTGCAGGGATGTGGCAAATCTCAACAGCAAGGAAGGACCATTGTGCGCCATAAGGAACATTTCTGCGGGAAGGAGTGATGGCCATGAGCACCTCGCGTATGCTCATCAGCCTCTACCACGGCCTAGTTTTGTGATGAAAGAGTCACCCGCGATCTTCCCTGATTGAGACCCACACCCAAATTGACCTGTTTTGCTCAGCAAGGGCATCTCAGCGACCAGATGCCTGGATGGCCTGCTTTTGAGGAGAGGTGCGGGGCAGGGGCCCAGAAGGTCGTAGACCATTTTTCTGGGTCAGGAATGGGGTGGCCAATTCCATGCATTTCAGATTACAAAAGGACATCGGATCAGTGTCCCCGTGCAGCTGCTGGGAGTCCTTGTGATGTGGAAGAGTTGGGAAAACCCCTGAATTGCAGGCCAACATGAGCCACGCTGCTTTGGACTTCTGTGGAGACGATGCCCTGGTCTCAGGTGTGTCAGGGACACCAGGGCTCATAGCTTTAGGTGCCGGTTTCATCAAAGAGTCAAACAGGTGAATGAGCATGTGTGTCTCTTTCAGGAAGGATGCGGCATCTCTTTGATCACCCTCCTACGTGCTGATTTCCTTGTTTTCAGCAGGTTCCCCACTTCCCAAGTTGAGCCCAGGCCCCTGGTTGGAAGATGCCTTAGGGCATGGTTTAGTCATCAAGGGCCATAACTGTGGAGATCTGTGGAAGCGTGGTTGGCAGGCAAGGGTTATGTTCTCATGGCTGAACTTGGCCAGGGACCAGTTTTGTAAAAGTTGGTAAGAAACCCAGCTCGGTAAAAAACACCAGCTGTGCAGGGGCATAAACTGACCTTGTAGTTAACGAGTATCTTGAAGGGAGGAACAAGGATGTTAGAAAAAGGGATGTAACCACAGGAGTTTCCCAAGAATATATGTGTATAGCAGCCTAGCTCTATATATACCCTAGGCTTAAGCAGAATAAATGGATCACTTTTATCAATCATATTGGTTGTGTTGTTTTCCCTCCGCATTGTGACGACATGGAGTCTCCGGCAGAGATCCCATGGAGAAGTTGCTTGAAAGAGAGCTGCCTGACACACTGGTCTGCTATCTGTCATTTTCAATCTCCCTTTGTTACCTGAGCTTGTGGGCAGTAAAAACTGTCTGTGGCAAAGCCTTAGGAAGCATCGCCTCTTCTTAGGTCCTGATCCCAACAAGGTACTTCAATCACCAAGATGTCTGCTGACAAAGCAACACATCCAACCAAAAGCAGTCCAGGAAACTACTGGAGTCTGTCGTGGAAGACTTCCTAGTAGAGGTGATGGAGAATTCAACCAGAGGAGAGATACTGCTAAACCTGCTCCTTTCTAGTGCAGAAGAACTTACCAAAAAGGTCAAGACAGGAGGTAGCCTGGTCAGCAGCAATCATGTCTTGGTAGAATTCTCAGCCTTGAGAGGTGTAGGGTAGGTAAAATGTAGAGTCAGGACCCTACACTGTAGAAAGGCAGGCTACTGGCTGTTTAAGGCGCTACCGTGTGTGATCCCTTGGAAAATGGCCTCAGAGATAAAGGATGCTGAGACCTGGGGCATACTGAAAGACATTTTTCTGGAGCCTCTAGAGATCCCAAGATGCAAGAAGTCCGACAGGGGAAGCAGGAGCCTAGCTTGGGGAAGGCAAGGCCTCTTAGCCAAACTGAACCAAACCAAACTAAACCAAACTAAACTAAACTAAACTAAACTAAACAACTAAACAAAACTGAATTAGTAAACTAAAATTAAAGCATACCAAAGATGCACAGGCAGTGAAGGCAGGGATACACATCCTGGACAGATTACAGGGAATGTCATGGGCGTCTATGGAGGGCATCAGGAAAACCAAAGCATAGCTGGCGCTGAACTTGTCTGGGGCCATGAAAAATAAGCAGAAGGCATTCTGCAGGTACATAGAACAGCAAAGGAAGGTGAAAGAAGTTGTAGCCCCACACTTCAGGTGGGCCAAACGGGAGGCCTGGCTGTGACCAACATGAAGAAGATGGAAGCTCAAGACCATGTCAGGAACTTGAAAGTGCACAAGTCCCTTGGGAACTGAGGAGATGCACCCGAGAGTCCTCCAGGAACTCTCAGAAAAAGTTGCTAAGCCACTATCCCTCAAAACAGCAAAGGGGTAAAATACCCAGGGGCTGGAAAATGGGACATAACACCCACCCCCCCTCCCCCCCAGATATATAAAGGGAAAAAGGGAAGACCTTGGGAACTGCAGGCCGGACAGTCTCACCTCTGTACCCTCAACAGCAAGAAAGGATCATTGTGCACTATGAGGAAATTCCCTGCGGGAAGGAGTGATAGCCACGAGCACCTTGCTTACGTTCGTCAGGCTCTACCACGGCCTGATTTTGTGATGAGAGAGAGGCCCGCAATCTTCCCTGAGTGAGACCCACACCCAAATTGACCTGTTTTGCTCAGTAAGGGTGTCCCAGAGACCAGATGCCTGGATGGTGTGCTTTTGAGGAGAGGTGCGGGGAAGGGAGCTGGAAGCTCACAGCCCATTGTTCTGGGTGAGGGATGGGGTGGCCAGTTCCATGCATTTCAAATTACAAAGGGTCATCGGATCAGTCTCCTAGAGCAGCTGGGAGTCATTGTGATGTGGAAGAGTTGGGAAAACCCCTGAACTGCAGGCTAACATGAGTCACGCTGCTGTGGACTTCAGAGGACACAGTGCCCTGGATGCAGGCAAGCCAGCGTTGCCAGAGCTTGTAGCCTCAATCCTCCAAAAGTTCTGCTTCCTCAAAGGCATTTCTGCCTTTGTCATCACAATTACTCTCAGGTGCTCTGAGAGATGGACTCGAGGTCCTTTTGTAGGTTGAAATGCAGGGAAGCCTGTCAACACTGCGCTAACACAAATCCCACAGACCACCTCACCGTGCAGATTGTTTTATGAATGTCAGCAGAGGAAGGACTGTAGCTTGTTTTGCTTTAAGCAACGGTTGAACTAGAAAAGGTTTGAGTAGCTTTGTCCCCTTCAGACAGAGAGTCCAGTTCTGAGAGGCTCCTTTTTTCCCCTTGGTCCATAGGCCATAGGCTGCAAGAGACAAGAAGCTGTTTCAGCTCTTAGCTGCCAGGGACAGTGGTGCATTCAGTTCCAGGATGTCCCTGCAGTGCGGGCTCCTGAACAGGGTCAGTCAGCGTCTCTGGGGTGCCTTGAGATATCACAGAGAGGTCTTTGATTCATTGCATGTGCAGTGACAGTCCCAGCTACAAATCTTGAAGTGGAGCATTGTCCTGAAACTCCCTGGCAGCCGGGTGTCATTGCACAGGCACTGTGATCAGCGGGGCAGAGAGGGCTGCATCAGGTAGTTGTGGCCGAGTGGTGAAGGCGATGGACTAGAAATCCATTGGGGTTTCCCCGCGCAGGTTCGAATCCTGCCAGCTACGGTGAACAGCTGTTTTTTGGGCTGCTACCAAATGACCAGGTTTCTGCAGTGGCTTCCAGCTCCACAGTGTGCCTGGTGCCCAGGCAGACAGTTGAAGCACTTCCTCTCTTGGTCTTGTCCTGGTTGAATGGTAAACTCTGCTCCTATTGACAAGGTAGACATTTGAGGTGAAGACTACGGACCTGGGCTGAGTATGAGCCATGAAAAGAGCTCCACTGTTGCTGGTTCTTGAGTACAACTTAGGAGGCTGGGGCGTGGGGATACTCTGCCCAACCAATCCCCAGCAGGGTCAAAAATGAACCACCTTTCCAAGGGGGCTTTTCAAATTTAACTGAAGGATGAGATGATGAGAGGTGAGCGTGATCTGTGCCCTCCTGTTCTGGGAAAGATGTGGAATTGGCAGAAAAGGACAGGGCGGTGGCTGTGGTATCAGGAGACCATCCCCTGCGTCCAGCGCCCCTGATGGGGAGGACAGAAAAGAGCCAGAGGCTTCCCAGAGGTCTTCTTTCAGTTGCATGCCCAGCTGCCCCTACTAGAGCAGCAGAAGAGAATGAGCTTCTGGTAGCCTGCCTGCATGGTTCAGCAGCTTAAGGAAGAAGTAAACTCTGAGAAGCACTTGCAGGAAGAGCGTACAGAAAGAGGAGAGAAACACACATTGCTGGCACATGGTCGAATCCCTGTAGCCATGCCACTGATGCTGGGGAAATCATTGCAAGGGAGAAAGTATCTCAGAGGGATTCTCAGCAGGAATAAAGAAGGAAAGGGCAGTGGAAAGGACACCTTAGTGTGCTCACATCTGCACCCCCATGCTGGCCTTCTCTGTCCCCCTTTGGCTTTTCCCTCCTCTGCCTGGTTGCTGCATGCTCTGGCCAGCAGTGTTGAGCAGGACAGGAATGGCTCCAGGCACAGAGAAAAGGGGTTTCTCTGGCAAGCTGCATGGTGTCAGGGGCAGGCCTGGGCTCTCAGGTAGCAGCAAGGCTAGGGATGCACAAGGTGGGAGTACAAGTCAGGGAAAGGAGTGTGGTGTGAATGTGTAAAACAGACCTTTGGACAGGGGCGAGGAAAGATGGTGTTTTATGTTGGTGTTTCTGTTTCTCACTTTATGAATCTGTTTTAATCAGCAACAATTTCCACACCCTCTATGCCCCGACTCCCCTGCCAAGGTAAGCCTGGTTTGCCCATAGGAGTTTTTGCTATGCTGTGTTTTTTGAAGTCATGTTTGTCTTGGCCCATTCTGTTTTCAGTGCTCTGCATCCATCCCCAGAGTCTGGGAAGGAGTGGGCAGCTGGCTGGGGGTTTGTCTGTGATTATACCACCAAAGGTGCATAGCCACAAAGGCACAGTACCTGCGGAGCCGGTACAGGAATGAACGTAGTCTGAAAGAGGCACTGTTACCAGCACCCAGCAGCGCGAGTGTCCGCATCCAAGATGTCAGTCCCAGGGAACAAACACAGACATCCCAGCAGCTTGAAGTCCTTTGCATGAAGGGGACTGCAAGGAGGACTGGAAGGGACTGGCCAGGCGCTTACGTGGAGGAGCAGTAGACAGGCCACTTTGTGACCTGGCAGAGTGAGGCAGGCGGATTGGCAAGTGTAGGAGCAGGAGGCAGTATTGGTCCCAAGAGCATGGGTGGTGTAGCTGAGAGCATTAGCTGCCTTCCAAGCATTTGGCCCACATTCGAATCCTGGCCAATGCAGACAAGCTTTTCTTCAGCCTGGCTCCAGGGTGCCTTGCTTCTCCTGTTCCAGAGGAGCCCATCTTCCCTTAGGACGTTCAGGTACCATGGGTCACTGGAGCCACTCTCCTCTGCTGCCTTGCCTTGTGGCTAGCTGTATGGGCTCCTCCAAGCCAAGCAGGTCTTTGAGGATGGCCCAGCTTGGGAAAAGCAGAGTGCAGGGGGTGCTTTGGACCACTGATTGATTCTCAGGGTGTTGTGAAGCACTGGGCAGGTGCCCAGAGGACATGGGGATTCTCCTTGCTGTTGGGTATCTCACTCGAGTTCCACCAGAGCTCAGGCACTGAGGTGCCTGCTCCAGCTCTGGAGCCAGCCGTGCTTCAGCTTTACCCTCTCTCAGTCCTGCTGGTTGGAAGGCATTTCAGGTAGTCAAAGTGCATTCCCCTTCACGTTGGGTATCTGACTCCAGTTCCACTAGGCCTCAGGCACTGAGCTGCCTGCTCTAGCTCTGGGGCTGGCCCTGCTTCAACTTTGCCCTCTATCAATCCTGCTGTTTGGAAGGCATTTCAGGGGGTCACAGTGCATTCTGCACTGTGCAAGGAGCTACTTTCCACTGTGTGCACAGACTCTTCTTTGGTGGGCAATGCGCTGGTCCCAAGGCATGAGGGAAAGTCCCTCTGCTCAGGCTCACAGCAAAATGCACCTGAGTCTGGAGCCCTTTCAGGAGAGCGAACAGTGTTCTCCGTGAGGGAGAGGCCAACCTGGGGCGCAAGGGGACAGTGTATCCCTGAAAGAAAGCACAGGGTTTGAAGTCAGCCTAGACTGCCCCAGCAGAGGAAGGCAGCCCAGCTTGTGCAACACATAACAAACTGCTTTGGGTCCTCCTACTAGCTGGTCTTGCAGTTGAACCACGTCCGCTGCCCTCTGTCACGATTGCCTCATTTGTCAAGGTCAGGAGCTTGGCTAGAAGTGCAACTGAGAGTAAGGGTATCTGGGCAAAAGCTGTTTAGTATGAGGTACAAGGTGGGAAACAGGACAGGCCATGACTTAGAGTGGCAGATTGAGAGGCTGTCCAACACGCGGGGTTGAAGGGGGAAAACGCCAGCAGAACCCACAAATAAAAGCACCGAACCACCGATCACTGGGCTGTGAACGTACGCTTTGAGGTACGAGTGTTGAAGATGTTAAGCAGGTTTCATCAGGCAAAAGGAAGATTCTCGGGGGATACCAGCCTGTGTGTTTTAGGAGAGGGTCTACGAGGCTTGCACAAAATGCTGTGCCACTTCCTCTTCTGTGATTGAGAAGTGGCCAGTGTCCCTGAAAGAATGCTGCTCTTGATGACTGATGGCTAGGGAGATGGAGAGACTGGCAGGCTGAGCCAGGAGCATATGTCTCAGCGAGGGTGGCTGCAGGGGAGAGACCTATCCAGCATGTGCCTAGAGGTCCCATGGTGTAATGGTGAGCACTCTGGACTCTGAATCCAGCGATCTGAGTTCAAATCTCAGTGGGACCTTGTGCAAGGTTTTGGCTGCCTCAGGGCTTTCTCAGCATGCTTGCACCTTGACAGCCTTGCTTTTGCTGTTGGGTCAATTGTGTCAACGCACTCTGATCTGGATCATTGGCCCCTGCACCCTCGGTGCTTCCTTGCACTTGTTGGCTGTTCCTGCATGGGGGCATCCAGCAGTTTCTCACCAAATAACTCAGCACCTGAGGTGGAGGTCACGAAGTCCAAGTCCAGGCCAAGCAGGGGATATTTTTCCTGGCCTTGTCTGGTTCTATGCTGGGCATCTTCAAAGATGGAGAATCTAAAACTCCCTGAGCAACCTTCTCCCATCTTTGCTCTTCAGTGCCTCTGGCAGTAGCCAGAGTTCCAACTCTGTCCACAGCTTCTTGCTCTCTCAGCTTCTCTGAGGCTTTTCTGTTTCTCTTTGCCAACTTGTTTAATTTTGATCCTCGATCAATGCAGGGAGTTCCAGCAAAATAGGGCAGTAGTCCACGCTTGGCTGTCAGGAGAGACAGCAGATCTCTCCTTCCACAGCAGGTAGTTAAGTGAGGGAGGAGGAGAACAAACCAGCACGACTCTCCAGATATGCTGCACACAGTCTTTAATCAGAAGGAGCAAATGCAGGGGCACAGAACAGAGACCAAGAAAGACGTCTGCAGGGTTCGGGGAGGCACAGAGAATGGCCCGTTTCCAAAGGACAAGGTCCACAGAAAGGGCTTCACTCTTCCCATTCTGCTCCAGCTGGTGGTATTCCCAGGCCACCAAGAGCAGGCCCTGACTCCAGAACCCTCCCCACATCAGTAGGAGGTTCAGCAAAGCAGAAGAGAAGGAGCCCTTTCTCTCAGGGGCTCAGAGCAAAGCAAAGCCAGGGAAGGTAGAGCAAGGCCTTTCCTGCAGGGAGGAGCAGCGGGCACAGGACCCTCCTGCCAGGTGGGAAGAGGACACCCAGCCCAGCTGGAAGCCGTGGCCCTGCTGCTCCTGCTCATACAGGGAGCATGATGTCTCACTCCGGGCTCCCAAGAATGGGATGGAACCCCCAGCTTCAGCAGTTCAAGCTAGCGGGGAGGAGGCAGACACAGGCCTGACCCCCCCAGACCAAGGGAGCCCCCAGAAGAGATGGGAACCCCGCCAGTGCTGAGAGAGTCCCAACAGCAGCTGACAGAGAGGATCCCACGGCTGTGCTCTGCGGGAAAGAGGTGAGGATGGGGCCCGGCAGGGTCACCACCACCGGGGAGGCCTCAATGAACACCGTTGAGTCAGCACAGCGGGCGAAACAGGGCTCACTGCAGCTGCTTGCAAGTGGCGTTGGGCCAGAGGTGCCGCAGGGGCGTGGGGGACATGGTCTGAAGCAAGACATCTCTTGGTGAGCGAGGCAAAGCTGAAACACAGAGCAGGCAGGGAGCACAAACCTCAATATTAGCGTGTCCTCGTCTTCTTCAGCTCTCTCTGTGCGCAGATCTTGTTTTAAATACACGCAGTGACTCTGCAACATCCAGAGTCCTCCCTGGCCCAGCAGCTTGCCTGGAAATGGGAGGCTGGCCCCTTTTGTAATAGGTCCCATTTCACTGGGGTTAAAGCCCCTGTGGAGTGGCTGAGCACAGCCCATCTCCAGAGCAAACAGTACTGCATTGAAGAGAGCATTGCATGCACTTGGCCATTTGGTTAGAGACAATCTGATGGACATGCAACTTCTGGTGGGCAGACATCCCTGCATCTGAGCCCCCCTGATCCTTTCTGCTTGGAAAACCCTCCTCTTCCCAGCTCCCCCCAGCCACCTCCATGAGAAGGACAGGGGTCTCAAGGCTTGACTGTTTCCCTTGCAGGACCAAGCAGAGGCAGCCCCATATCAGCCTGAGCAGCCACCAGCACAGCACTTCAGCCCACAGAGAGAGACAGAGCAGACTCAGGCTTACCTTGTTCTTAGAGGAAAGGGAAGCAAGAGAGGAAGATGCAGAGCCTGGAGTAGAGCAGGCTTTTATGCTGTGCTCCAGAGCCCTGGGGGGAACCAACATTCCTTGCTCATGAAGCATCTGAACACCTAGTAGCTGCTGCTTGCCAAGGCCCCGCT